GCCCATGCACTGCTGGATTCTACCGGTTCGACCACGCGATATGGCGGCATTGACAGGGTATCTTCCGGATACTGTCCGGTTAAGACACGTGGCAGTTTCGCTTGCGATCTTCAGACGCATTTTCGACAGACCGGACGAGCGGGGTGAAGCCGACCCGGCGCGAGCGCTCGATCACGGACAAGGAAGCTTCGACGGCAATGAAGCCAGCTCCGTTTGTGCACCAGCTCCTGCGCATGCTCGAGCACGAGCCCGACGACGTGGTCGCGTGGGGGCCGGACGACCACTCGCTCGAGATCCGCGATCGGACGCGCTTCGAGGAAGCTGTGCTACCGCGGTACTTTCGCCACAAGCGCTTCAACAGCTTCCAGCGCCAGCTCAACTACTACGGCTTCCAGCGCGTAAAGGGCCTTCCGAAGGCGACAACGCGCTACTGGCATGCGCATTTTGAGAAAGGTCGGGTCGATGCCATAGGCTTGATTCAGCGCTGCCCGCCCAGCCGCGCACTAGCGATGCAAGCGACGATTCCATCGGCCGAGGAGCCACCAGGGTGCTCGATGGTGTCGCCCGCAAAAGCTACTCTCGCAGCTGCGTCGTCGTCCAACGATGCGTCCATCGAGCGACTTCTGGCACCGCTCCTCTACGGCAGCGCCGTGGCGGTGGACCTTCCGGCGCCGAGCCCATCGTGGCTGGACCACATTTTTGCGGACTCGACGTCGTTGGGATTTGAAACAGTGCTGATTTAGCGCCGAATCCATGCAACTGGTGTCCATGAGGCGTTGGTTCCATGCAGAGAGGATGGGCAATCGCCGCGCGTGAAGCGCAGAATGACGGCGTGACGTCAGGGATAGCGAGCCAATCGGCACTTGGGCGCATCCCACTGCGCAGTCGTCCAGCTGGCCATCGCTCCGCCACCTTGGCGCGTGCACCTTATCAAAAGCTGCAGGTTTCTCTTGCGTGCAACGAATTTTCTTGTGACGGGCAAGCGTCACGTGAAAAGAACACGTGTGATTGGTGCAAATGCCAGCATTATGGCCAATGCGCAATCGATTCCGCTTGCGCCTCTCGTATCCGGACCCGATCTTTGCATGTGCGGATCGTACGCTGTCTATGCAACCGTGTTTTAAACACATGCGGAGGGTCGGACGAACCGCGGTTGGGACGCCATCAACCGCTTAGGTCGTCGCTTCACGCGCTGTAAAAGCTATACGTATAGCACCCACGTGCTCCTCTACCGAGCGACTGAGACTGCTCAACGCAAGGTCGTTCTTAACCGGTGTTTGCATCAACCGCGGTTAGGGCTCGTCGCGGTTCGATCTTGGGTTTACCGTACCTTAGAGTAGCCGCACCCAAGTCAAAAGCACTTCGTGCGACGGTGCGGTGGCGCCATCGTGCCGTGGACGCCGTGGATCTTTTTCTGTCCAGCGGTGTCGTCGCTTGCCAAGGACCTCCTTCTTGTCGTTTTGATGCACCCCGCTCCCTTCAAGTATCTTGCCACGTGCTACTTTGCAGCCAATGGCATCGCGCGCCGATATTTTCGCCGCTTTTGATTGGCGGTTCGAAATATCGATTGTGAGAGACTCGGAAATCTTTGTGGCGGATTTGCTCACTTCTCAAGTTTTCGTGTCGAGCGCACTTGACCAGCCGCAGCATGTTGTACCGCCACGTCCACAAGATGAAGGCGTCGTCGGCGTCCAACATCTTCCTCCGCGGCCAGAGCGCCCGCGACATGAGCCAGATCCGCAAGCTCATGGCCGCCAACCGCGGCGAGATCGCGACGCGCATCATGCGCGCCGGTAACGAGCTTGGCATCCGCACGGTCGGTATCTTCTCGGCCGAGGATCGCTTCACGCAGCACCGCTACAAGGCCGACGAGTCGTACCTTGTCGGGAAGGGCAAGTCGCCCGTCGCGGCTTACCTCGACATTGACTCGATCATTAACGTCGCCAAGGACAACCACGTCGACGCAGTCCACCCTGGCTACGGCTTCCTCTCGGAGAACGTCGAGTTTGCCAAGAAGTGCGCGGCCAACGGCATTACGTTTGTGGGCCCGACGCCCGAGAACCTCGCGACCTTTGGCGACAAGACGGCCGCCCGCGCGATCGCGATCAAGCACAACGTGCCGGTCGTGCCCGGTACGGAAGGCCCGGTCGAGACGCTCGAGCAGGCCCGCGCCTTCATCGACTCTGGTGTCGGCTACCCGGTGATCATCAAGGCCAGCATGGGCGGCGGTGGCAAGGGCATGCGTGTCGTGACCCACGCCGAAGAGCTCGAAGACAACTTTATCCGTGCCTCCTCGGAAGCGCTGGCGGCCTTTGGTGATGGCACGGTGTTCATTGAGCGCTACGTCTACAAGCCCCGCCACATTGAAGTCCAGATCCTCGGTGACGGCAAGGGCAAGGTCGTCCACCTCTTCCACCGTGATTGCTCGGTCCAGCGTCGCCACCAGAAGGTGCTCGAGACGGCCCCCGCCGTCCTCCTCAACCCGGAGACGGAGAAGGCCATGATCGACGACGCAGTGCGCCTCACGGCCGCGGCCAACTACAAGAACGCCGGCACGGTCGAGTTCCTTGTGGACCAGGAAGGTCGCCATTACTTCATCGAAGTCAACCCGCGCATCCAGGTCGAGCACACGATCACGGAAGAGATCACGGGCGTCGACCTCGTCCAGAGCCAGATCCGCATCGCCAACGGCGAGAGCTTCGAGTCGCTTGGCCTTGTCCAGGACAAGATCAAGGTGCGCGGCCACGCGATGCAGTGCCGTGTCACGACTGAGAACCCGGCGCTCAACTTCCAGCCCGACTCGGGTGTCATTGAAGTCTTCCGCTCGCCAGGTGGCATGGGCATCCGCCTCGACGACGGCCCTGGGTTTGTCGGTGCGCACATTACGCCGCACTACGACTCGCTCCTCGTCAAGGTGACTGCGCGTGCGCTCGACCGCGGCGACTGCGCCCGCAAGCTCAAGCGCGCGCTCAAGGAATTCCGCGTCCGCGGCGTCACGACCAACAAGAACTTTCTGCTCAACGTGCTCAACCACCCGGACTTTGTCGACGGCACGATCGACACGTCGTTCATTGCCGACAACCCGCACCTCGTCGCGCCGTCGCACTCGACCAACCGCGGCCAGAAGCTGCTCCGCTACATTGGTAACACGATCGTCAACGGTCCGGAGAAGGCGCTTGGCGCGACTGGCCCGGCGCCGTCGTCGATGGACCCGCTCGCGCCGCACTTTGCCGAGCCCGCGCCGTCGGCCACCAAGTCGCTGCGCCAGATCTACACGTCGGAGGGCCCGGCGGCCTTTGCGAAAGCGGTCCGCAACAACAAGGGGCTGCTGCTGACGGACACGACGTGGCGTGACGCGCACCAGTCGCTGCTCGCGACGCGCGTACGCACGACGGACCTCGAGGCGATTGCGCCGGCGACGGCCATTGCGCTCCGCAACGCCTACTCGATCGAGATGTGGGGCGGCGCGACCTTTGATGTCACCATGCGCTTCCTCCGCGAAGACCCGTGGGAGCGCCTCGCCAACCTCCGCGAGCTCGTCCCGGACGTGCCGTTCCAGATGCTCCTCCGCGGCGCCAACGCGGTCGGCTACACGTCGTACCCGGACAACGTTGTCTACAAGTTTTGCGAAAAGGCCCAGCAGACCGGTATGGATGTCTTCCGCGTCTTTGACTCGCTCAACTACCTCGAGAACATGCGCCTCGGTATCGACGCGGTCGGCGCGTCGGGCGGTATCATTGAGGCTGCTGTGTGCTACACGGGCGACGTCTCGGACCCGGAGCGCGGCCCGTACAACCTCGAGTACTACCTCAACTTTACGCGCCAGCTCGTCGGCCTCGGTATCCACGTGCTCGCGATCAAGGACATGGCCGGTCTCCTCAAGCCCCAGGCCGCCCAGATCCTCATCGGTGCGATCCGCGCCGAGTTCCCGGACCTCCCGATCCACGTGCACACGCACGACACGGCCGGCACGGGCGTGAGCTCGATGCTCCAGGCGGCGTACGCGGGTGCGGACGCGATCGACTGCGCGACGGACGCCATGAGCGGCACGACGTCGCAGCCGTCGATGGGCGCGATCGTGGCTGCGCTCCAGAACACGGAGCTCGACACCAAGGTTGACGCCGGCATGATCAACGAGATCAACGACTACTGGGAGACGATGCGCGGTGTCTACGCGCCGTTCGAGTCGGGCCAGAAGAGCGGGTCGGCCGACGTGTACCACCACGAGATGCCCGGTGGCCAGTACACGAACCTTCTCTACCAATCGACGCAGCTCGGCCTCACCGGTCAGTGGCCGGCGATCAAGAAGGCGTACGCGACGGCCAACAAGCTCCTCGGCGACATCATCAAGGTCACGCCGTCGTCCAAGGTCGTCGGTGACTTTGCGCAGTTCCTCGTCCAAAACAACTTGACGGAAGAGGAGGTGCTCGCCCAGGCCGAGACGCTTTCGTTCCCCAAGTCGGTCATCGAGTACTTCCAAGGCTACCTCGGTATCCCCCACCACGGCTTCCCGGAAGAGCTCCGCGCCAAGGTGCTCAAGGGCAAGCTCCTCCCGAACGGGAAGGAGATGTTTGAGGGTCGCCCGGGCGCCGAGATGGCGCCGTACGACTTTACGGCGGCCCACCGCCAGCTCTGTGAGACGTACGGCTCGGACAACATCTCGGAGCTGGACGTGCTCTCGCACGCCATGTACCCGGATGTGTTCAAAGGCTTCATGGAGTTCAAGGACAAGTACGGCTCGATGCACTTCCTCGACACGCGCACGTTCCTCACCGGTCTCGAGGTCGACAAGGAGGTCGAGCTCACGATTGAGCACGGCAAGACGGTCTTTGTCAAGCTCATCGCTGTCGGCGCTGTCTCCAAGAAGGACGGCACGCGCGATGTGATCTTTGAGCTCAACGGTCGCCAGCGCGTGATCAAGGTCAACGACGACAACGCAGCTGTCGGCAAGGTCGAGCGCCTCAAGGCCACGGTCGGCATGCCCGGCTCGGTTGGCGCGCCCATGCCCGGTGTCATTGTCGAGGTCAAGGTCGCCAAGGGCCAGACCGTCAAGGCCGGTGCGCCGCTCTGCGTCCTCAGCGCCATGAAGATGGAGACGATGGTCGCCGCGCCCGTCTCGGGCAAGATCAAGAACATCCACGTCATCGTCGGCGACAACATGAAGGCCGGGGAGCTCCTCGTCGAGATTGACGAGACGGGCGACAAGGAGTAAATGCAGCTTGAAAATAAAAGTGGTTAGTGTGTACTTGGAGATAGATAGCTTGTTGGTGGTTTAGTTGGTACCTTCTAGTGTACTAGTCTATTATGCGTACTCGGCGTGGTTGAACGCGGGTCCGCTCGGGTACGGGTCGACGGGCGTAAAGCTGTCGAGCCACGCGCAGTTCATATCAAAATCAAAGTGCGACTCGTTGTTGGTCGAGTCCTTGAGGTCGGGCAGCATCGACGGTGGCAGCGGCGTCGACGCGCCCCCAAACATCATGTGGTTGACGTCGAGGAGGCTAAAGCTGGGGCCGTCGCCTTGGATCTGGAGGTTCTCAATGTCCGAGAGCAGGTGCGTTGACGGCAGCGGCGTCGTCGTCGGCGACGGTTTGGACTGGAACCCAAAGAGCATGCTCTCCTTCTTGGTCGGATTGAAGTCGAGCACGTCGTTCGGGAAGAGCGCACGGTGAAAGCCCGCGGACGGCGACGACGACGACGAGGTGGTGGTCGTTGGCGCCAAAAAGTCGTAGCTCATGGGCGCCATCGCATGGTGCCGCATCGAATGAAAGTGCAGCATCGGTGGCATCGGCGTCTTCTCGTGCATGGCCGACGCGCTCATGGCCTTTGTTGGCTTCTTGCGCGCCGACTCGGGGCTGTTCTTGCGCTTGATGAGGTACAGGCGGTCCGGTCGGTTCTGGCGAAACTCGGGGTGGCTGAACGTGCAAATGTTGGTCTGGCTCTTCGTCCACTTGCGAAAGCCAAAGTAGTTGAGCTGGCGCTGGAAGCTCGCGTACTTGGAGTGCTTGAAGTACTTGGGCAAAATGTACTGCGCGACGCGGTCCGTGTCGAGGATCTGGATCGACGTGCCGCCGTTCGCCCACGAGATGATTGCACTGTCTTCCTTCTCGAGGATCTGGTAGAGGTACCGGAGGAACTTGGGCACGCCGACCTTGCGCTTCTTGGTCGGCGTGTGCGACATGGTCTCGTTGCTCGACGACGTCGGCGACGACGGCATCTCGTGCATCATGGCCACTTGCATCGTAGGCGCTCAAAACCCAAATGCGCTTCAAGCTGCGTTTGCGCTTGGCCTCCGTCGCGCTCGTGATTGGCTCAAATCGATGGGTTGATGCGGGCGGCCAATCAACGGCATCGGTTCACGCAACCGTTTCACAAGTTACAGCGCCACATTAGCGTTCGATTATCTACGGCCTCGGCGTTGCCACGCCCTTGAGTAAGCACCCAACGTCACGAGGACGAGTGCCATCCTACGTGAAGACGCGTGCTTGAGAGGCCACCGGTGTACGTACGCTGTGAAAGGCGAGCGATCCCGCTAAAAACCCAAGAATTGACCGAATGGGATCGATCGGGCTTGGTCACCGCGTGCGGGACAACGTGGTGACCTTCTGACCTTCGATTTCGCAGCATCCAAGACGCCAAGGTTGATATTAGCTTGAAGCAGTCAAGAAGTATCTTTGTTCATTTGCTCAAAGGGCAAAGTGCAACTGAGTACTGAGTCCACAGGAGTGTATTTTCTGCTTGGGTGAGGCGAGATGCACACGAAATAGATCACACGTGGGCTATGCGTATGTAGTATCGGATTCGAGCACCAACAGCTACAGAAGCTCGCGAGAGCACTAGCGTCAAGGCAGTCCGTGAGATGCATAAAGCGACCGACCAACGCCGCGTGGTGAAAGTTGAGCGAATATTTCGCCCTGCACCGTGAGATTTAGAAAATCCAACTCGCCACATTCTTCCACGGCAACCTCCGGTCTACCGCCATCACATGCACCGAGTGCCACTGCTTGCCACATCGTTGAGATCTCGAAAAAGCGCTAAGAGTCGGTCGGTCGTCCATCAAACAGAGGATTGCTGACCAGTGCGTCGTCGTCGCCGTCGCCACTACCCTCGTCGACCTCCGAGGACGGTGCGGATGTTAGTACCGAAGACATACACGTATGAATCCTAAACGCTTTTCACTACATGTCTTTGGGCTCTAGGATTCAGCTAAAGACGGCGACGAGACGAAACTTTCTATTCACGGTTCGCTTCGCTATCGTCGGGCTACAAAGATGGAGCAACGTCACCCCAGCTCGGCCGTCTCGTCGCTCTCGAGGCCACGCCGCGACATGGAGCGTACGCGGATCCGCTGGTATCTCTCTTTGGTCGCTTGCAGGTTGGCGGCTTCGGCCTCCTCGTCCTCCGTATCCATAAAGGCCAGCGGCAGCATGCCAACGAGGCAGCCAAATGAAATGCCCACGGCCGACGAGAGATACGAGATGCCCCGCACGATCGGCATGCGAGCCTGCGTCGACGAGAGCTGCGGGTCGCCAATGCCGAGCTTGCGCGCAAAGGATTCAATGACACCGCCGAGGCTCAGGCCGGCAACGTCGGCGACGCAGTTGCTCAAGCCCGCGGCTGCCAGCACCGAGATGGGCATCGCCGCGCGCAAGTACGTCTCCATCGAGTCGCCTGCTGTGAGCATGATGAGGTTGTCGACGATGCCAAAGCCAATGAACGGGATGCCGGACGCCAGCATGACGAGGCGCAGCTGGCGCGCACTCGGTCGCTCGAGCGAGCTATGGCCAAGCGACGCCGCCATCGTCTGCGGCAAAAAACGCGACGTGATGTACGAGTGGAACTCGACGGTCGTGAGCACGCCGTCTTTGTTGACGTCGGCGTCGGCAAAGTGCTTTTCGAGGTTGAAGTCCTTCTTGTGGCTCGCGAGGACGCGGGCGATGACCGCCTCCTTTTGCTCGATCGAGAGCGCGTCAAAGGCGGTGGCGACGTCAGCAACCGCATCTGTCTTGCGCTCCGAAAGGCGGCGCGCCCGGCGGCGCAGGCGCATGCGGCCCATGTACTTGCGCAGAAGGACCCGCATAGTATCGCTGGACCGATCCCCTCTGGCACGCCGACGACAACAAAGATGATGCAAGCGGTTTTCTTCCGTGTGGAAATCGTGTTTTCCACGCACACACACATTTGCCACATGCGTTTCCCGCATCGACTACCGACAAACTAAACGACTAAAAGAAGAATGATGGTCGTTGCTTGCCATCAAAAGCGACGAAGACACTCCAGCCTCGTGCATCGAGCGTCAAAGGAGCCGCCAAATCGACTGCCACGGGCGCGTATATGCATTGCCTACGACTACTCAACGCGTGTCCCAGCACCTTACGCGGGTAGTATACCCGCCTGCATCGTGGACGTTTCGCGAGCTTCTTGTTGAAGCGGGACCAATGTGCGGTCACCAATGACCGGGCGGATCGTGCGGCCAGACGTCGTGTGGACCGCAAGAGAAACCCGTCCGATCTCAGTCGACAAGTTGTCCATCAAAGTCGTAATGCCGTGTCATAACTCGAGACAGAGGAGCCAGCTTGAGGGACGGACGGACGTGACATCGCCGGAGCCGCGCGTTCGTTCGCATTACGTGGCCAGGCCTCTACGCCTCTACTCGAGCAGCTGCGATTCGCGAGCGGCTCAACTCAACCCGCCAACGCAATTGAAAATCAAGTACCATGTACTCCCGGCCTCGAGAGTATACTCGGAGGCAGTGTAAAAACACGGAGGCTCCACGCGTCGTCCATGCAGCCACGGTGGCGGATGATCCTTACGGCCGCCGGCCGACAAAGTATCTTGGAATTTGTATACGATCGACAGTGGGTTCCTTTGCCGACGCAGTTGCAGGACGCCACCTGGTCCGGCGACTTGGGCGACTTTGACGACAAACTCAACTCAATTGTGGTTCTTTTGAGTTTTTTGTATACACGACGAACCGAAACTCAATTCGAAAACAGCCGTTCGTAACGCTGGCGCGAGCAGGCTTTCTTATTTCCGATTTCGCCACACAAGGCGACGACAGCGACGCATGGCGGTGACGGACCTCATCCTGCTGCCCGAGGTGAGCGAGGCCGCGGTCGTCAAGGAGCTCGCCTCCCGGTACCGCGCCAACGAGGTGTACACGTACATTGGGCCCGTCCTCATTGCGGTCAACCCATACAAGACGCTCAAGAAGGACGGGCTCTCGCTCTACGACGAGCACTGGATCGACGAGTTTAGCGGCCGCGAGATGCACGAGAACGACCCGCACCCGTTCGCGATCGCCGAGTCGGCGTACTCGCACCTCATGCGCTTCCAGACCAACCAGTGCCTCCTCATCACGGGCGAGTCGGGCAGTGGCAAGACCGAAACGTCCAAGCACGTGCTGCAGTACATTGCCAATATCTCGACGAAAGCGCGGACGCGCCAAGCGGTCAACCAAGCACGGTACCGACTCTATCACCCTGCGGTCGATGATGTCTCAAGCGGCGGACGATAGAACGCTCACGGACCTCAAGAAGCAAGAGATTGATGACGTCGTGAACAAGGTCCGGCGCATCTTGATCCGCGCGTCGCCGGTGCTCGAAGCCTTTGGCAACGCGCAGACGATCCGGAACAACAACAGCTCTCGCTTTGGCAAGTACATGCTCCTCCAGATGAACGTGGCCGGCCAAGTCGTTGGCGGGTTCATCCACAACTACCTCCTCGAGAAGAACCGCGTCATCATGCAGGCCGCGGGCGAGCGCAACTTTCACTGCTTCTACCACCTCCTCGCCGGTGCGTCGGCCGCCGACCGATCGGCGTGGAACCTCAAGGACGCATCGCACTTCAAGCTCCTCCAGAACGAAAACCGCACGATCGACGACGTCGACGACCGCGTCGAGTACCAGAACATGGCGCACCACATGACGGCCGTCGGTATCTCGGACGACGAGCAGCGCTCGATCTACCAGCAGATCGCTGCGATCTTGCACCTCGGCAACGTCTCGTTCTTGAGCCTTGTCGACGACAGCCACAACCCGTGCTGCAAGATCGACGTACGTCCTTTCTCCTCCATGTTGCACGGCTCTAAGGTTGCGTGTTAGCCGGCGACGCGCGAGTCGCTGGACGTGGCCGCCAAGCTCCTCGGCGTCTCGTCCGAGAGCCTCGACGAGATGTTTACGTTCAAGTCGCTCGTGATCAACCGCCACGAGACGCTGATCCCGCTCACGGCGAGCCAGGGCACCAAGGTTCTCCACTCGCTCGCCAAGGTCCTCTACGAGAACATCTTTACGTGGCTCGTCCAGCGCGTCAACAAGGGCATCCACACGCCGCGTGGCAGCTCGCATACGATGGGCATCCTCGACATCTACGGGTTTGAGATCTTCCAAGAGAACGCGTTCGAGCAGCTCTGCATCAACTACGTCAACGAGAAGCTGCAGCAGCTCTTCATTGCGCAGACGCTGCAGTCGGAGCAGTCCGAGTACCAGCGCGAAGGCGTCGCGTGGGTGCACATTGAGTACTTCAACAACCAAGTCGTGTGCGACCTCATCGAAGACGCCAAGATGCCGGGCATCATGCCGCTTCTCGACGAGCAGTGCGCGATCTCGCAGACGTCCGTGGACGTGCTCATGCACCGCTTCAACGAGACGTACGACAAGCGCCACTCGCACTACACCAAGTCGCGCGTCAAGGGCTCGACGTTCCAGGTCCGCCACTACGCCGGGACGGTCGAGTACGACGTGACCAACTTTGCCGAAGCCAACATCGACTCGTTCTTCACCGAACTCTACGCCAACTTGGCCAAGTCCACGAACGCCTTTGTGCGCAACCTCCTCACGGACGACCGCAGCACGAAGGAGAAGCTCAAGCGCCCGCCGTCGACGTCGTTCCAGTTCCGCGGCCAAGTCGCGACGCTCCTCGCCGAGCTCCAGCGCTGCAACCCGCACTACGTGCGGTGCATCAAGCCCAACGACAAGAAGGTCTCGGGCATGATCAGCTCGGAGCTCGTCGCCGCCCAAGTGCGCTGCCTCGGGTTGATTGAGAACATCCGCGTGCGCCGCGCCGGCTTTTGCTACCGCGAGACGTACGCCACGTTCCTCCACCGGTACAAGATCCTCTCAACAACGTCGTGGCCGGCCCCAAAGAACTGCTCGTCGGTACGTGTTGCTTTTGCCTCTGCGTCTCGTCGCTCAAATGATGTGTAGCGTCAAGCCACGCTGGAGCTGTTGACAGCGCCCGACATGGGCGTGCTCCCCAGCCTCCAGCCGCAGAGCGTTCTGAAAGCGAACGGCGGCAAGGACGCGTCGATGCCGGTGCACGCGGACGGCAAGCCGCTCACGCCGCTCGAGGTGTACCGCATGCACCTGGCCATGAAGAACGGCGCCAAGGAAATGGACAAGGAGATCGAGAAGAAGATCATCCCGTTCCATGAAGACGCCGACTCGATGGGGTGCTTCTCGCTCGGCCGCAACAAGGTCTTCATCAAGCACCCTGCTGCGCTCTTCTCGCTCGAGCGCCTCCGCCAAGACAAGCTGCCGGAAATCGCGCGCATCATCGAGGCTGCGTGGCGCCGCCGCCTCCTCCGCATCCGCTTGGCCAAGTACCAGATCGTGTACGACGACCTCATGCGCCGCCTCGCCGCCGTCAAGCGCAACATTGCCGACCGCGGCATGCGCCGACTCGGCTCGAACAACAAGATCACGATCGCTGCGCTCTACGGCCGCTGGCACGCGCTTGCCGATGCGGTCCTGCCAGCGCGCACGCGCTTCCACGCGCAGCTCGAAGCCGCCGAGCTGCACAACAAGGTGAGCTTTGCGCAGAGCTGCGTGCGCCGGAACGCCGCCGTGCGCAACCTCAACCGGCTCAAGGGCGCGGTCGCGGTCTTCTCGTCGCGTTGGAAGGGCCGGCAGACGCGCAAGAACATGCCACCGGAGCAGTGGCAGCGCTGCTACCAGGTCATGCTCGGCATCCGCACCGAGTTTGAGCGGTACGACCGTCTTTTGACATTGAGAGCTTGCATCGCATAAGGATGTAGGCTGTTTGGCAAGAAGAAGCGCCGCCGCGACACGCTCGACCGCGTCTACTTGGGCGACTACATCAACTGCTCCAAGTACCCAGCGCTGCGGGCGCTCGTGACGGACGCGCGCCAGCGCCAAATCCTCTTTGCCGGCGAAACCCTCAAAGTGAACGAAAAGTATCGACTTGATAGTCTATGTGGACGCCACTCAAGCATCGAATGTAGGACGGTCGCGCAGTCGCGCCTCCTCCTCATCGGCGAGACGTACATCCACAACGTCAAGGCCGACAAGATGGAGAAGCCCAAGGAGCGTCGCCGCGTGCAGATCTCGGCGCTCAAGCACCTCTCGCTGAGCTCGCTCCAGGACAACTACCTCTTTGTGCACGTCGAAGGCGAAGTCGACCTCATGTACGAGGTCGACCAAAAGACGGAGATCGTCCAGCTCCTCCGGAAGCGCTACAAGGAACTCCGGAAGAAGGAGCTTCCGGTCGTCATCTCGGACGAAATTGAGTTTGAGGCCAAGAAGAACCAGCGCAACCTCGTCAAGTTTATCAAGACGCCCAACGTGGCGACGACGACGCTCGAAAAGGTCGACAAGAAGCACGTGGTCGTGCGCGTCGGGACGCTCCAGCAGCGCCGGTACTAGTCGACGAGTATCCTTTATTACGTGTGTCGGAGCATCTAAGAAGACCAAGACCAAGAACTGAGTGCGTGTCCTCTTCACGTTCCACTGCAGTATTCAGGGCGACCCACGTTCCCTTCTGCATAGTATTCTGCACCAGTAGCATATCCAAGTACAGTAGCTGCAATCTCAACGGTAGCTTTCGCGTAGCTTCTTGGTTCTTGGTAGCTGGAGCGTGATGGCTGGTACTGGGTAGCTTGGCCTCGTGACGCATACCGTGAGCGCCAGCGTTTGCACAATAGACGCTGTGAAGAACCCACTTGTAGCCGCTGAAAGGGGTGCATCGTCCGCCTCTTGGGCGACGCCGCCGCATTTGTCATCGGCTCCACCCGCTCCTACACGGTATCAGGCCTGCTGTTTCGGGACGACGTCAGACGAGCGCTCGTTCGTCAAGGATCAGCTTGGGAACCAGATTCGAGGGACCGCAACTCGAGGTGCAATGCCACTGTGCTAGTGAAGGTGTCGAGCGGCGTCGCACTGTGGCCAGACCAGTGCAGCTTCAACTGCCGCGTCATCGTCGCAGTATCTTTCTGGGCACGAGTCAGATCCAAGGGTCAAATGGCGCGGCCGAGCCCCCTCGCCCATCACGAGCGAGCGAGAGGGAAGCGCCATACCCATGTTCCTTGGCCATATATTCCGTGACAGAATGATGATGCAATGCCGGATGCACTTGGGGTTTGTATGCAAAAGCTTGGAAACGGGCGGGGAATCCTCATCCTGGCGTGCCACCGTATGGTGGCACCCGCCCATATTGCACAAATATAATATTACCTTGTGTTTTGTATTCAATACAATGCAATGCAAATCACGTGGTCGTCTTCTCAAGAGCGACTCAATAGACCACTGTGCCCAGCATGCACGTGTGTACACTATGGAAGGTTGATTCAAACAGGCACAAGCGAGACACAATTGGGATTCCGTCGTTGTGTTGAGACGAAAGCGAGAATAGATGAACTTGCCTTCCGAGCCTTGTGGCCACCAAGAGCCGTGCGGGCGACACACAGACTAGGCGCACGCCCCTTAAGAAAATGGACACTCTTGCGAAGAGTCGGCGTCCTCGGCTGTGGCGTCGGCAAAGAGACGCTTGGTGTGGGCGATATCTCTTCTATCACCAAGGAGACACGGCCGAGATCAGACATGTCTGCGCTTTGGTGTGTGCGCGACAGTCCAAGGACCTTGCGAAACACCAAAAATCGGAAATCCCGAAAAAACAGGTTTTTTTTGCTGGAAATTTCGTCACATCGGTGCGGTGATCGCACCCGCCCGACAGTCCTTCCAGACAACGCCACGAGGCGACAGCGTACCGCGCCAAAGCGACCGGGCCAGCGCCGTGCAAGGACGAGCACGTGGCCGTGCCCCGAGGCGGTGCGTGGCTCAATTGGCGTGATTTTATCCGTGCTCATGGCCTGGGACATGTCGGCGTTCTTCACGGAGCTCGGGGCCAGACGGAGGTGTAGTGCAACAGCCCGCTATTGCCACTCGCCAACTTTCGACAAATGCTGCACGTGGAGGCCGCGCACTCGTGGACGCTCAACGTCTTTGCGCTCTCGACGGCCGAGATGATCTCGCTCGCGACGCGGCTGTTGCACTGGGCCGGCGTCGACGCGTACCTTGGCCTCTCGACACCCGAGCTCCACGCGTTCGTCGTCCGCGTCGAGGCCGAGTACCGCGACGTGGCTTTCCACAACTTTCGCCACGGCGTGTGCGTCATGCACGTGACGTACCTCGTCTTGCACGGGCTCGGCATGCACACGGTCCGCGACGACGTCGCAATGGACGTGCACCACCGATCAGCGCTGCTGCTCGCCGCGCTCTGCCACGACGCGCAGCACGACGGCCGGACCAACCAGTTCCACGTCGCGACCAAGTCGGCGACGTACGTCCGCTTTCCGGTGCGCGCGCCGCTCGAGCACTTGCACGCGGCGACGACGTTGCACCTCCTCGACGACACGCGCCTCTTGGCCAAGCTCTCGATGGCCGAAGCGCAGACGCTCCGGACGCGGATCGTCGACCTCATCATGGCCACGGACATGAACCTCCACGACGAGGTGCTCGCCAACGCCAAGGCCGAACCCACCGACATTGACGCAGTTGCCAAACTCATCCTCCACTGCGCCGATATCTCCAACCCGATCATGACGACCGACATGTCGCGCCGGTGGGCCAAATGTCTCATGGACGAGTTTGCGGCGCAGGTGGCGGACGAGCGCGGGCTGGGCCTGCCCGTCTCGACCTTCATGATCGCCGCGCCGAATAGCCGCGACGAGGCCCGTCTGCACATGGGCTTCATCGAGCGCTACTCGGGCGACGCCTGGCACACGCTCGTCGACGTGCTCAACACGAGCCCGGACCTCTTTGCGACGTGCCTCTCCAACCTCGCAGCCAACGAAACGTACTGGCGGCTGCGCATCGACAAGTGGACACCGTCGCCGGCCCGGTCCGTGGGCCACAAGAGCCCCAACGAGTCGACGCCGGTCGTGCGCCCACCGTGCGTCGAGTCGCTTCAGGCCGCATGATGCGCTTGCATCCTATCTAGACACCAACCCTTAGGTATTAGACCCTTGTACTATAGTAGAAAACTACACTAACAATATTTGCCACCATGATCCTGTCTTGCCCCATGCGTCGGCGTCAAAAGCTCTCGTCACTATGTCCAGAGCGATTACATGAGAAAGTTCCGAGCAAATGGTCATGGACGTCTACCTGGCCGCTGCGTCATCGTCGCCGCCACCCACCGAGAGCGCGTCGTCGGACTCGAACCCAGCCTCTTCTTCTTCCGCCGCCTAGTAATCACGATAAGCATCACCTAGTGACGGAGCGGTGAACCGCTGCTGCGACACGGGCCTCCCGCTCGGCTTGCAGCTTGGCCTCTTCCTCTTGGCGCTGACGCTCGGCCCGGCGTGCGAGCGCGCGCATCCGGTACTCGTCGATGATCGACGTGTCCTGCTGCTGTGCGGCTTGCGCGAGTCGAGCGGCTTCGTCGGCTTGCGCTTGAGCTTCGCGCGCCGCGGTGTCGCGCGCTTCAGCCTCGCGCACGGCGTCCTCGTCCAGGGTGTGCTGTGTCGAGAGCGCATCAAGTTCCTCCTCCTCCTGCGCCTGTCGCGCACGCTCTATCTGGGCCTCGTGGACCAAGCGCGCCCGCTCCTCTTCCTCCGCTGCTGCTTGCCGATCGGCTTCGGCACGGCGCGCATCGTCCTCCGCCGCCTGTCGAGCCTCGGTAGCAGCAAGGTCGGCTGCATCCTGGGCCTCGCGAGCTTGGTGCTCCGACGCCACGCGAGCTTCCTCGTCTTCGCGAGCCTGGCGCTCGGCTGCCTCTTGCTCTTCTCGGGCAAGACGCTCGGAGGTTGCTTGGGCCTCGCGAGCTTGGCGCTCGGTTGCTTCCTGCGCTTCACGCTCGAATGCTTTCTTGGCCTCTTCCGCTTGGCGCACCTCGGCTTCATGGGCCTGGCGCTCCAGCGCGTCTTGTGTGTCTTGGGCTTGGCGAAGCTCGCGAGCGTGGGCTTCCGATGCTTCACGAGCAGCCTGCTGCTCCAGAGCTTCCTTTGCTGCGCGGGCAGCCGCGAGCTGCCCCTCGTGTTCACGTGCGTCTTTCGCAGCGCGGTCGGCCGCATCTTGCTCTTGGCGTGTCGCAGCCAGTTGCTCTGCCTCGCGCACTTGGGCTTCGCGGGCGGCTTCCAGCTCGCGCTTGGCAGCGAGCACGCGGTCCTTCTCAGCTGCGAGCTGCTCGCGCAGCGCATCTTGTGCCGCACGCTCTCGATCGCGCTGCGCTTCAGCCTCGCGAGCGCGTTCACGGTCTCGCTGCGCTTCCGCCTCGCGCGCTTCCCGCTCGCGGTCCGCCTCCTGCCGCTGAAGCGCAGCGAGCGCTGCTTCGGTCGCCTTTTGCTGCGTAGCCAGCGCATCCTCGCGCGCTCGCTGGTCTTCGAGAACTTTGCGCGCGTCCGCCGCCCGCTCTTCGTCGCGCTGCCGCTGCGCTTCCAAGCGCGCCACCTCGGCGTCGCGCGCTGCGGCCTCGAGCCGCGCTTCAAGCTCGCGGACTTGAAGGTCCCGCTCAGCTTCCCGCGCGAGGTCCTCTTGATGCTTGCGCCATGCGTCATCGTCGGCACGATGCAGCGTCGGCGGTGCTTCGCTCTTCTCATGCTCTCTTTCTATGTACCGCGTCTCGACTGGCACTCGCACTGGCTGCGGAGGGGGTGCGCTGGCCGGGGCACGGGCCTCCTGCCACGGCGGATGCGTCCACTGCGTGCCCCGGGGCTCGTAGTACGACCGCGGTGCGTACTCGCGCGCTGGCACGGCACACTTGAGCGACGTCACGAGCGCGCTCAAGCTCTCGACCTCGTGGCGGAGCGACGCGACGTGGACCTGCTCGTCCTCGAGCTGCGTCCGGTACCGCCCGACGGCGGCGTCACTCTCGGCGCACTTGGCCCCGAGCTCGTGCAGCTGGCTCCGAAGCCGCTGCTCGCGGACGAGCCAGCTCTCTTGGTCGGCGTGGTGGGCAGCGAGCAGCTGCTCTTTTGCTGCAATGAGCGCTTCGGCGCTCTCCATTCGCAGGGCCACGTGGCTTGCGCGAGCGGTATGCAGCTCGGTTTGCAGCGCGTGGACGCGGTCGTCGAGCTCCTTACGATGCATATCGGCGACGCTGGTGACCGCTTTGGCCTCCCGCTGCACGACGTCTTCGCCCCCAAATCTCAAACGCAATGTTGGAACGTACCTCAAGGCGGGCGATGGTCTCGAGATGGCAGCTGCACTGCGCGCGGACGCTGTCACACTCGGCTGCTGTTTGTTGCAGTTGGCTCTGGAGCGATGCGGCGTGGCGCTTTTGGTGCGTGAGCTCGAGCGTTGCGTGCTCGAGTTGTAGCTTCAAGTCGGCTTCGGCTCCGCGCAGTGTCTACCATGCGCGTCCACACAAATGCAACTGAAGGAGGTAGGTACCAAGACGTCGACTTCAAGCGACGCCATTTTCGAGTGGAACGCCGTGAGCTCCGACTGCGCGCGGCGGAGACTCTCGGTCTCGTTGGCGAGCCGCGCCGATAGGGCATCGAGGTCGGCTTGCTGGCGCGCGACCCGGGCCGCGGCTTCGCGCTCGCAGTGCGCCGTGTACGTGGCCTTGTCTTCTTCGAGACGCGTCATCGTCGCGACCATGTGCGCCTCGCGGGCTGCGACGTTGTCCTGGAGCACTGTGAGGCGCCGATTTTCCGTCTGCCACTTGCGGCTCTCGTCGTCGATGAGCGACGAGAGCTGTCGGTCTTTTGTCTGCACGGCGTCCATCTCCTTGAGGAGTGTTTGGCGCAGCTCAAACAAGTCGAGCTCCGCTTGCTATTTACGCTGCATCAGCGATAGACAACTGAAGGGTATACGCGTACGCGCTGCTTCTCAAGATACGCGAGATGGAGCGACCGCTCGGCCTCGTCCAACGCCGCCTGCTTGGCGGTAAACTCGGTCTGAAGCGTGCTCCGGACACTCTCGATCTCGTGCAGATACGCCTTGCGCTCGTCGACGCGCATGACGGCGATCTCCGTGTCGCGAATGCGAGTTATCTACCTTGCGTGTGAGGACGCTGTGGCGAGAGGTCGGGCGTTGCCTCTTGGGCCACATGGGCTTGGGTCATGCGGTCGTATTCTTGCTGGTACTGGAGGATGCGGTCCTCAAACGACTTGGCCGGCTGCTCTCTCTGCGCATGGCTCTGTGCCACGTAGATGGCGTCAATGCGCTGGAGCTCCGACTCTAGCTCACGTCGTAACGCGTCAGGCAGAGCCCGCGGACATCACCGTACCGAGGATGTAGCGACGGTCTTCGTCGTGGGTTTGGGTCTGCATCTCGTGTGTCGAGGTCGACGCTGAACGCTCGACCTGCGATAGCATCTCGAGGAGGCCGGCGGGCGACGCAGGTGTCGTTGGCAGTCGTAGCATTTTGGCGACCATGGCCGGCTCGAGCTCGCAGTTGCGCGGGCCGACTTCGGGCAAAAACACCGAGAGCGTGTGCTTGAGCTGCTTCGTGCGCAAGTACTCGCAGAGGAGCGTGTTGGCCACCTTCTCGAGCAGCGTGCACTCGTGCGTCGACGCATTCATGGTGGCGGCCCGCTTCTGCAGCTTCTGCACAAACGTCGTGCGCAGATGCACCTACCTGACGCTCAGCTAGACGATGACAAAGGCGACGTACGCGGATCTGGTCGATCGCGCCTTCCTTCTGCAGCGTCGAGAAGAGGTTGCTCTTGAGCTCGTCCAGCGACAGGCCGGCGCCATCGCCGCCATGCTCTTCCATGCGGCAACAACGTTTTTTCGAAGCCTGTATCCGGATTTTTCGGAAAATATCGAAGCTCGCAAAGTTGCGTGCGCGCAGGTTGAAGTTGATGCATTTTGTTCTGCCAGCTAGCTACCGCGTGCCTCTCACCACCCTTTCCTGTGCGAGTGGATGTTGAAGTAGTAAGTAGCCTACGCAGGACGCCACATGCTGCGTATGTCAATGCTACGTTGACGATGGTCCTTGCAAAGGTACTCACTCGTCCACGCTTCTCCTGCTTGCTGTGCAGCCGATCTGGTCGCGATATGTGGTACGTTTGAAGAGAAGGCGACTGCAAGCTACTCGTGATATGCTTCTTGGGATACCGAAGGACGCCACGCACATAGGCTTTATTCTTGTCTGGGGTAAATTACGTTTTTACCCTATGTTCTGGCTTGAAAACTACACGGAGGTTTTCATTTCGTCGGCGAGGCGCTACCGGTCTGGCTAATCTTGATACTGACGGCTGACGGCTGAAGGAGGTTGGCGGTGGTGGTGGCGGCGACTGATCTCGTGCTCGGTGCTCTGTGCTCTGTGCTCTGTGCTCGATTCTCGATTGGCTCGTAGTTGTATAATGTCGAGACTGGGTCCCCTAGCTGTTCTTTTTTGGCTTGGGCCGTCCTGCGCCTGCACGTCCGCTAGTGCTACGGCGCGTTGGCGAGGGCGTGTCGTATGAGTTTGTGGCTTGGTTCAGGTTCGCGTGACTGACGGGTCCGCCGAGGTTATATTTAGGGCCAGGACATTGCTTTTGGACAACGCAGTCCGTGACGCCAAGTCAGATACGATGAAGCGCGACGATGCGATCGCGTACTTTCAAGGGCGCTTGGAGAAGAACCCGATGGACGAAGACGTACAACGCCTCATGTGACGACGTTCTATTTGCCATGAATGCTTCTAGGCCCTGCACAACCTCTCGGTCCTCTACAAGTCCAAGGGCGACATGGAGCAGTATGGGCGCGTCGCACGCATGGCGGTGCTCACGAAACGCGGTGGACCTGCCCACTACAACGAGCTCGGACTGGCCTTGATGCAGGCTGGCAAGCTCGAGGATGCGTACGAGCAGCTTCAAAATGCAGTCGCACTGCAGGCATCGTTTGGGCCAGCGCACATCAACTTGAGTGCGGTCAAAGCAAAGCGCGGCGAGTACAAGGAGGCGATTCGTCATTGCGAGGACGCGCTCAAGTACCTTCCGAACGACGCATCCGTGCATCGCAACATGGCCAAACTCCTCGACGCGGTCGGGCGCACGTCCGAGTCCCTATCACACAACCAAGCCGCCTTGCGCCTTGCCCCGACTGACGCATCGGTGGCTCGACAGATTGCCCTCCAAAGCGTGAGCCGACAGCTCCCAACGCAGGCCCATGCTGCGTACGACACGTACCGCCGCCTCACGGGCCAGCACTACGACCTCAACCTCTAGTAATCGCAATATAGACAACATGTACATGTTTCAAAAAAAGTTAGTTGGCGTCGTCGCTGGTATGGCGCTCGCGAAACGTGGCAAAGTCCTTCTCTTGCGTGATGCGGTTGGACTTGAGATGAGCAAGGTCCACGCGGTGGGCGCGAAATGCACTGCCTTCTTCTTCGTTGCGGTGGAAGAGGTCGCTTCGGCGCTCCTTGCTGATCGACACATCCGGGCTCGTCCGAACGTAGCGGACACCGTGGAAGGTCGCCATGCTCGCGGCGAAGGACACGATCGCAATGATCGGGTACGTCGACGGGTCCGAGAGCCACGCCCGGAGTGAAGTCTTTGCGCGCGCCGCCATGTTAAAGAGGTCGTTGGAAGAAGAGAAAATGCGACTTGTACAGCCGACGACGACGAGGTTATCTAAAGACACGCGCGGCCGCGCCAATGTAATCGACTCGCTTACGCGCGATCTTCCGGATAATGTTGCAGCATTTGAATTTCAACTCGGTCTTTGTATCGATGGTTTGACACGCATCCGGATACTGCACACCGCGCGCTCCAGGATCGTAAACGGCTTGTTTACCAGAGGCAAATCGAAGCATGGTGAAGCATTCAGCGCACACTTCGAAGCGTCATGGCGGTCATGGCGACGTCGTCGAGTGGTGCGGTGTATCGCTGGAAGGCTTGCGGCCCCGCAGCGGGTGGTAGAACAGGTCCACAGCCCGTGATATTTGCGTCCACAAGTGTCGAATAGCAAGCTAGCAGCACACGCTCGAGGCACAGGCATGTTGCGATGTACATTAGTCTATTTCTTTTCACGGGTAGATTCTCTCTACCTATGCCGTGCTTGCATGTTCGATGGTTGTTGCATCTAATGCTCCGAAATGTCTACTTCGAGTCACCTTGAATGGACTTGCCATCTCCCAAAACAACGTCGGTATGCTTTGGATGATGACGCCGGACGCATGCGTCGTCATTGTAGGACATACTGTGCATTGGTCCAACATCAGATGACAATGTACAGTGGTGCTTGTACAACTCGTTGTCGCTGATGACACCAAGGTCGTCATTCGTGCGGCCGTTGCACATCGACAACATGTCCATGCCACTGGTCCCGTCGATAACGCTTGCGTGCGTCCGACGTGAAACCGTGTCCTGATAAACGTCGTGTGCACGCACGGACTCGCGGGAGATCGCCACGTCTATGTCGATCTTGCCTTCAAGCGCCGCGGCCGTCCCATGTCGTCACGGGCGGGATACAAAAAATGGCTAAAATCACGCGTCCTTGACGCGTGGCAGCCGGAGCGACCAGCATTATCCGGCATTATCCGGCGCGACGTGTTTTTGTAGATTGCGTTTCTTGGCGCCACCATTGCGTGTCTCTTTAGCCGCCGCCGACTCACTGGCGAGCGTCTCTCACTTTGCTTTTCGCTTCGACCAAGACACTTCTACTACCACCATGGCTGCGCGCGCTTCCCAGTCTGTCATCAAGACGTGGTTCTCCGACCCGGCCACGTACCCGATCATCGGCATCATCACGTTCGCCATGTCCATGTCGACCTTTGCCGGCGTCCGGTACCTCTCCAACAGCCCCGATGTCACCTTCTCCAAGGAGAAGCGTGGCGCGATCTTCCACCGCGACGAACAGGACGGCGCCGCCTTCCGCTCGCACCGCGTCACGGTTGCCACGTTGAAGCTCAACCCGATCACGCGCGAAGAAGCGTACACCGAGTTCAAGCAACGCCAGGCGTAATGTCGCTCGCAAAGCAATAGTTTACATGTAGTAGGACCCTTTATAAATCTGTAAGCGACCGTTCTTGGTTCAGCGCCCTTCGAAACTGCGTCATTGTCTCCCAGTGCAAGCCAACGGCCGCGCGTGGCTATGCAACCGGACGAATACAGTCAGTCGGATCCCGACTGGTGAGGGTATTGCACTGTTGGGCATACCAGGTCCGCATATCCGGCGACTTTGCACTTGTCTCGCGGCTACTCGATCTACGGTTCTGTCTCGAGTGTCCTCCGTGATTGCAGTCCACGCTGCTTTGATGATTGCTCTGTTAAGCTTAAGCATTACACTCGTTCGTTCATGCAACTTTGGAAACAACTAAAACGAGCAGAAAGCCGTCCGCCAGCCACGCGACAATAGTAGCTAGAGTGTACAGGTTAGGCACCTTGCTGGTCGTCGGCGTCGTTGTTGTCGTCGGTCTCGTCGGTCTCGTCGCCGTCGCCTTCCTCGATCGCACCACTTGACGCTGGCCCGCGGCGCGCAATGATGTCGTGGATCGAGACATTCCAGTTTTCATTCGAGATGGAGCCGCGGATCGGGCGGCTCTCGACGTTCTTGACCGGCGCGTCGACGGCCCGCAGCGAGAGCGACCGCAATCGGCCAATGATGTTTGTATGGAGCTCGACCGTTGCGGGCGGTCGTACCTTGGTCACCTTGGTCAACGACGATCGGTGAAAGCTGTTGCGGCGGAGCATCCGCAGTGGCTTGACGCCCACGTCCGAGTGCCGATGGCCTTTCTCCGTCGTCGGCATTTGCTGGCGCGGGGCGTGTCGAGCGGACTGGAGCACACGCTGCTGGTGCTGGACCATGCCGAGGACGAACGCGCCGGTATCAATGGCGTTGTTTGTTCCTGCAATCTTGGAGTAGAGGGCGAGGCAGTCGCGCTCGTGCATTTGTGGGTCGAGCTGCGTTGCGAGGAGCTGAAATTCTGGAAACTCAATGATACCGTTCTGCTCGCGGTCCATGCTCTCGAAAAGCGTGTGCATGAAATCGACTTGGGCGTTGAAGAGCTTGAACCAGTGCCGCATGACGTGCTCGAGGAGCTCGTCGATTTCGATGCCGTCGTCGCCGCGATGCTTGAGTGTCGCGTAGCACGCATTTTCCGCGCCTTTCTCAAACGCAAACGCCGACGCAACGACGTCGAGCGCTTGCGACAGCGGGATTGACGTGGCATTCGGACTGCCAACGATACCGTCGCCGAGGCGCTGGCCCAGCACCCGCGCGGCACTTGTTGCGGCCAGCGTCTCGTGCGTGTAATGGCCAACTAGACAGAATGGTCCATCGTAGATATTAGGGGTAGGGTTTGTGTACTTTGAAAGATGAGACCGACGACGTGAAGGTAAAAGTCGACTGCTTGGTGCGTCGCGCCGATCGACTTGTACGTGGCGCACGGCCCGGCCGACGACCCGAGAAGCATTCCAAACACGCGAACACGTGCATTTCTCTATCGTATTTTCGATTGGACGTTGGTTTTCAACAAAATTCCGGGAAAACCTCGCAAAATTTCCGCACGCCGGCGTCAATGCAGATGAATTGGCCAATCGCGAGGCCGCGAAGCCCGTGGTAGAGCACGTAGAGGTCGTGCATAAACTCAATGAGCGACTCGCGATTTCGCCCGGCAACGTCGTCGGCAATGTCTTGCAGCATCTTGGCTTGGTAAATGGTAGCGATCGTCGCGCAAAGCTCTTGGACGACCATGGGCTTACGCTTCGCAAAGATCTTTTTGATGTGCTTGGGGAGAAAGTTGGCGTCCGCAATGAGCTCCGAGATGCCTTGGAAGCGAGACACGGGCACCTATGATTCCCAAGATGAGGCTCTCGTGTCTCGGCCTAGATGGCGACCACGGGGGCAAGAGAAGCCGTGCGGACGACGCCGCTGGCGGCTGAAGGCGAGCTTGGATCGTCGTGGGTTTGGGTCGCCATTTCGACCGACGAGCGATTAAGGGGCGCTTGGTGCGAGAGTTCTTGTTGGCGACTCAGTAGCTCCTTGAGCTCGTCGGTAAGGATCTCGTTGCGGTCGCGCTCGTGCCGGATGTCGTCGAGGTACGTCTCTTTGGCATGCGCCAGTTCGTTTCGTAGTAAAATGAGCTGCTCGTAGCTCGCCCGCTCGGCTTCGAGGACCTCCTTGGACTCGAACGCGCTCTACACGACCATATATCGCGTCGCATTCTTGCTAAGCACGTCAAACGTACTTGCATTTTGGCCTTGAGCGGGTCGGTCGACACCACGCTCGACCTAAAGCGATACATTCGCACGCAGATCAGCACACAAAAATGTACTTCGTACACTGAGTGACCAAACTCGGCCGCCAAATGATATGTGAGTTTCGCTGCCTCGGCGCGGTTCATGTACTGGATCACGTCTGCCATGGCATCTGCGTCCAACGGGTTCTCGGCCGACTGCAAGAGCCCGGTGAGGATCTATGAAAAGACGGATATATCGCACAATAGTATCGAACGACAATAATGACCATTTTCTTGCCCGTCGGTTCGAGTGTCTTGAAGATGCTGAGAATCGTGCGCACCTTGTCCATTGTGCCGAGCTGCTCGACGTCCCGATTGGCGTTTTTGGCGCTGGCACTCGACGGCTCCTCGGGCACTGTCCCGCGGTTCGTGAGGTTCTCGACGGTGGTCTGAGCGAGCTGCAGCTTTCGTTCCAGACGTCGCTTGTCGTGCTTGAGGGACGTGATTTCTACGAATCTTTGGCTTCTAAAATCGCTGAAGCGCGACAGTGTACGGTCGCGTAGCTCGTTTGCCTCGCTATCTTGCGCCTTGCTACGGTCAAAGAAGGTGACGCCGTCCGCGTAGCAGCGTGTGGCCGTAATCGGCTGTCCCCGGCCCGAGAGCTCGTCAAAATCCTTGTAAATCGCATGGCCCAGACTCCTAAACCAGTGGATAAGCCCTCTAAACGTCAAGAGCGTTGGGTACTGGCAAATGGTGTCGAGCACGCTTTGGTAGCGACCAAAGATGCACGAGGCTTGCTGGAGGCAGTGAAAGGCCACGGCCGTGCGCAAGTGGTTCGGCGTCTCTTTCCCGGTCGCCAGGACGTTGGTTTCCCGAAATTTCATCTCGCAAAAGAGAAAGTACGACGTGAACGAGTGCACTTCCGTCTCGAGCGAAGTCAACCACGCCTGCACGTGGGCCATGTCGGACGTCTTGACCTACAAGCCGGTTGTTCATCGACACGTGACGTGACGGCGCTACCGCGGGATGGGCTTCGTTGGAGAGGTGCTGTAAGACCTGGGCGGGCGTCGCAGGCACTGGAGACACGGGTCGTTGTGTCTGCGTCCAGTGCCCCGTGTTGCCACGTCCTGGTGTCGGCTGAAAGCTATAAGAACTCATAGAACCTCGCATGCGAGGTGTGAGATGTGTACTAGATGGTGGGTGGGGTCTTGAGGTGGCGTCGTCGCGGTGTTGACGTCCCCGCAGTCGACTTAAACGGGTATTGATTGTAGCTGCGCTGCGCTGGGGATGTCTGGTACATGGTCGCATCGGGATCTCGAATGCGCATGCTCGTGGCGGTGGACGATTTGGGTCGGGCGGCGACCGCACTTGCATGCGGTGGCCGCGGTAGAGTTGCGACTGCGCGCCCTGGACTGGGACAGCGCACGCTCATGGCCCGCTAAATCAGCCCTTTTATGAGAAAACTATATCGGGCTGACCACAGTTTCAACGAGAAAGTGGTCGATTGTCTGATCGAGTCGTCGTGCACATGAAGCATCGATAGTTGTTTAGGGTCGTATAAATGGAATATTATTAGTTGTGGCGCTGACGAAACTCGACAAAGTCGTCGTTGCGCGTGATCGGGTTGAGTTTCAGATGGGCCATGTCGATGCGGTGCGACCGGAACGACGCGCCTTCGTCATGCGACCGGTGGAAGATCGCGCCGCGCTTCTCCTTGGAGAAGGTGACATCGGGGCTGTTGGAGAGGTACCGAAGACCGGCAAAGGTCGACATGCCCGTGGCAAACGTGATGATGCCGATGATCGGGTACGTCGCGGGGTCGGAGAACCACGTCTTGATGACAGACTGGGTCGCGCGGGCAGTGGTCGAGGCCATGGTTGTTCTTCTTGGTAGAGGTAGTGGTGGTGATGAGGATCAAGCAAATGCTGGAATGAGGTGCAGAAGGCGCGCCAAAACGATAAAGATCGTTTTCAAAAACACGCAACGAGCAGAGAAAAACCGTGAAATTGACACGCGCGTTTCAGTTTGTATCCGGATGTCTGGTCGTCGTCATACAAATGTGCAATGAGATGACCTTTCGCATCCGGATAGACGTGGCGCGCACCGTGTCAATGCAACCGCCAGGGCAAGTCGCGTGTCTTTGGTGTTGCGATCTTCCGCAGGTCCATATTGGCGCCCGTTGAAGTGGTTCATTCCAGCATTTGCTTGATCCTCATCACCACCACTACCTCTACCAAGAAGAACAACCATGGCCTCGACCACTGCCCGCGCGACCCAGTCTGTCATCAAGACGTGGTTCTCCGACCCCGCGACGTACCCGATCATCGGCATCATCACGTTTGCCACGGGCATGTCGACCTTTGCCGGTCTTCGGTACCTCTCCAACAGCCCCGATGTCACCTTCTCCAAGGAGAAGCGTGGCGTGATCTTTCACCGGTCGCATGACGAAGGCGCGTCGTTCCGGTCGCACCGCATCGACATGGCCCATCTGAAACTCAACCCGATCACGCGCAACGACGACTTTGTCGAGTTTCGTCAGCGCCACGCGTAAATCACACTCTAATTGTACAATACTTGATAAATTTTGAGATGGAACATGCCACCAATTGTTTCGCCGCGAGTTCTGTCCCGTTCTCATCTCCAACTATTAAGTTGGAACGCCGCTTGGCAAATCATGGAATACGTCACCCCCATTGTGTTGGCTCGACACTGCGAGCGAGGATACGTCGTGACCCAGTCGAGCGTCAGTTTGACGTAGCTCGGGGGGCGAATGGTGGCGAGAAGCGCGTGCATTTCTTCAGATTCCAGCGCTCGGTGGCCAGTTTCACAATCACCTGGAGCGTCTTTCGATCGTCGCGCGTCGTGATCAGTGCGTTTGCCAGTAACAAAAGTTGCTGCTTGCTCAGCGTCATGGGACCACAGTTTCTCCAAGGATGTCAGACCGAGACCACGAGCAATCCATCTTGGCAGTTCCCGGGTAATGGCATCCACACGACGTTCCGACGGTCCCGACGCTAAACTTCTTCAAGACCCGTGACGTGTTGAGCCACTGCATTACGGTTGGTACATCCGCGTCCGCCGAGCAGTCCAGCGTACCGTCCGACACATGTAGCCTTGGAGCGCACGAAAATGAGCGATGTCGACGGTTTGGGCGACGTAGAACAAGACTGTCCGAGTTGAGCATGCCCAATAGCGTCTACACCTTCGCCTCGGGAGCCCTGCTCCACTAGTACAGACGTCGTGACAGTCGCTTTCACCACCACCACACCACGCTCGATTTGACCGAATCGGTGGTGACCATCATTCGCCATGGCGAGACGATCTGCGCTGGCGGGCTCGACTGTTTTTATTGGTGGCAAGTTTCCTTTTCGGTGTCATTTCGGGCGACAATTGCGCCAGTCGCCTCGTGACCGCTCTTATGTTCGCGCCGTCGCACTAAAGGGGAAGTGGGGACACAGGAAGAGGTATGCCTCGACTAAGATCAGAATAAGGGAACCCTTTCGGCCTACACTGGCCGCTTTACTGGTAGACAGCACAAAACGCGAATTGTGAGCTCACAGGTCGAGGGGGCTAACACAACATACTAATACAAGTGTAGACTATAGGCAGCATGTCCATACCATCATTCAAATTTTATAGCAAAGGCGACAAACCCGATCTATGGGGACGACACGCGATCTTCAACTTGAAACTGTCGTGACTGGACAGCGTGCCACGTCATAGGCGCGTCGGGTGTCGGATATACCGGATACGCCAGAGCGTATCCGGTGACGAGATCTTAGAGGGACAGTGGCGCGATGGACGGCCCGCCGCCGTATCAGCTCGAGCTCGAGCACGTCATTGGGTACACGGGTCGGTCCAAGGACACGGTCCTCGCGCACCCGAAAGACCCGGACGCGTACTTTACCTGGTACGCCGCAGCTTCCTCGCCATCCTACTGACAACGATGGTGCAGCATGGGCGCGGCAGTCGTCATCTCGCGCGTCTCAGACACGCACGCGCAAGAGTTTCTTCGCGGCCACGACGAAGAGATCTCGTCGCTCTGCATTTCGCGCTCGGGCGTGCTGCTCGCGTCCGGGCAGCTGCCGTCGACCAAGCGCAACGTACGCATTCTGCTGCGTTTTACGACTCATTTGCGTTAGGGCGCGGGCGCGGCGATTGTCGTTTGGGACCTCTACGCCAAGTCGGAGCTCTACCAGCTGCACGGCTTCTTCTGCAAAATCACCAAGCTCGCCTTCTCGCCTGATGACCATTTCCTACTCGGCGCCGGCGCCGACGGGTCGGTCATTCTCTGGGACCTCCGTACGTCCGAGGTCGTCGTGACGCGGTCGTACGGGACGCCCGTCACGATTCTCAACTGGGGCAAAGTCGAAGAGAAGACGCGCCGACCGAAGTACACGCTCATGTTTGCGCACTCGAGCCAGCTCATTGTGAGCGAGCTCTCGTACGACATTGGCAGCATGCAGTACAAGCTCGAGAGCTACCCGTGCGCGATGCCGTCGACTGGTATGGTCCGCGAGTACCTTGCCGCGTGCATGACGCAGACCAACGACACGCTTCTCGCGGGCACCTTTGCCGGTTCACTCTTTTAACGTTGATGTCGACCGGCACATCTCATGTTGCGTAGGCGAGCTCGTCGTCTTCAACGCCGACGCCCGCGTCTTCAAGTGCACAATACCTATTTCGTCCAACGGCGTGCACTCGATCGCGTGCTGCGCCGCGACGGGCTACCTCTACGTTGGCGCGGGCGACGGCGTTCTCAAGAAGCTCGTGGGCGACCACTCGGACTGGAACCTCGTCGGCCAAGTGGCCTTGATGGGCGCCATCTCGGGCTTGAGCGTGACGTGCGACGGCGCGACGGTGCTCGCTGGTACGTCGGCCGGGAAGCTCTACCGCATCCTCGCCAGTGCAATGAGCGTCGAAGAGCTCGCTTGCAGCCACTTGGCGCCCGTGACCGCCTGCGTCTTTGACGGCCACTCGAGCGAAGCGTTTGCGTCCATCTCGCACGACGGAACGCTCAAAGTCTGGGACCTCTCGTCGTACCGCGTCAAGGCGAGCGCCGCCGAGAACGTCCAAGGTCGCTGTGTCTGCTACGCTGCAAATGGGGCGTTCCTTGTCTCGGGCTGGGCCGACGGCTGGCTGCGCGCCTACGAAACCGCCTCGGGGGTACTCGTATCCTACATGCCCGCTTGGTGTTGAATCACAGAACGTATAGCACAAGCTGTGGCACATTGCCAACGCGCACCGTGGCGAGGTGACGTGCATCGCTGCCAACGACAAGTGCATCGTCTCCGGCTCGAGCGACGGCGGCGTCAACGTCTGGTCCGTAGCGACGCGGGAGCTCATATTGCAGTTTCACGAACACAAGCGCGGCGTGACGCAGGTCACGATCGACTTGGTCAAAGCCCACCACGTGCACAGCTGCGGCCTCGACCGGTCGCTCTTCTTGTACGACCTCAAGACGCAGCGCCGCGCGGTCGTGCACCAGGTGCGCGAAGGCGCGTTCCATGCGATGAGCCAGCGCCTCGACAGCGAGACCGAGATCATCACGGGCGGCGCCGACGGCCGGCTCCTCTTCTGGGACTGCGACGTTGCCGACGCCGTCAAGGTGCTTCAGGACCCGAACCGAATGCGCGTGCTCGCACTCCAAGTGTCGCCGTCGGGTACTACGATTGAGTTGAAGACTCGTCGAATGAAAGCTACTTAGGACGCTTTGTGGCCACGGGCGGCGACGACTGCCATCTCAAAATCTACGCGCTCGAGAACGACGCGCTCATGGCCGTCGCCCTCGGCCACTCGGGCGCGATCAACCACGTGGCGTGGAGCCCGGACGAGCGTCAGATCGTCTCGGTCGGTGTCGACTGCTGTATATGCCTCTGGAATTTCTTCCTCGAAGACGAGACCCCTCGCTATTAACACGACAATATTGAGATGATTCGGCCGCTCCTACCGCAAGCGAAGGAGAACGTTTTCTGATCACGACGTTGCTCGTGCGTCGTCGGTCTTGGGTGCTAGCCGCGAGCGCACGGTGGCCATAAGAACGCTCTGCAGCGGCGTGTGCAAGCTACTCGGCGTGTCGATGCCGCCAGCCTTTTTGTAACGTCTTTGAACCTACGTGGCAGCGCGACGACGCAAGGAACCCACATGAAAAACAGGCCGCTCAGTATCCGGATTTGCGCTGTTTATCCGGAATTCCGCCGGCGCGGCGACTGGTTCATTGTTGAAGATGGCGTTCGTCCGTCAAGCGCTCCAGCTCCGCCGCCCCATCCGCGTCTTTGGCGCTCGCTTTGCCGTACGCCTACCACATACGAATTAGCGCGCTAATTCGTTCCATGTAGCACCAGTATGCGACGACACAGATCGGCGCCAGTGGCACGATCGAGTCGCGCTTGGTCTACCGCGGCAAGGACGGCTCCGTGCTTTCGCCGTGGCACGACATTCCGCTGCGCCCGGCCGGCTACGAGCACGACACAGCCATCTTCAACTTTATCAACGAGATCCCGCGCGGGTACATTGTCCTCTTGCCAGGCATTAGGCGCTTCATGCTCATGTCCATGCGCTAGCGACCGCGCCAAGATGGAAGTTGCGACCGACGAAGCGCACAACCCAATCAAGCAGGACGTCAAGAAGGGCAGCTTGCGGTGCGTTCTTCATACCCCATTGGCCTATATTCCTATGAAAATGATAGTTTCTACCACTTTGATTCGCTCGTCAACTATGGCTGCATCCCGCAGACGTGGGAAGACCCCGCGCACGTTGACGAAAGCACGCGCTACGGCGGTATCTGCATTCCTTTTGAAAGCAGCCGTGTTGACGAGGAGCTGGACAGGCGACAATGACCCGATCGATGTGGTCGAAATTGGGTCGCACGTGGCCGCGACGGGCGACGTGTACCCGGTCAAGGTGCTTGGCGTGCTCGGCATGATTGACGAAGACGAGACGGACTGGAAGGTCATTGCCATCAACGTGAACGACCCGATGGCCGCCAAGCTGGACGGTACAGTTTGTGTCATTTCGGGATTTCTCGTAATTTTCCGACATTTTTTCAGATTTGAACGACGTGCTCTTGCATCTGCCCAACACCGTGCCCTCGATCCGCACGTGGTTTCGCGACTACAAGCTGCCGGACGGCAAGCCACCGAGCCAGTTTGCCTTTGACGGCAAGGCCATGGACAAGGTTTGTCCATTCTCTCTCATTCGGAAGCTACATGACAAAATGGTAGGCGTTTGCGATCAGCGTCATTGAGCAGACGCATGCGAGCTGGAAGGCGCTCGTGTCGGGCTCGACCACGTCGAGCTTGTGGACCAAATAAGCGGCCAAGTAAACCCACTTTGGCCATCCAGTATAGGTCCCACCTTGCGCCACAGCAATGCGATACATCGGGCTCATCGTCACGGTGGCGCCGTTGTTTGTCCTTGCGTCATCAGAGCAGCGTCGAGACGTGGCCGGGCCCTGTGCAGTGGCAATCACAGTGTACAGGTCGCGACCAAAAGCCATGGAGCTGTCGAGTTGCTGCGCCGTGTCGGTCGACCACCGCACACAGCTAGGATGGGAGCTGCCGTCGAGCAGATGCAGTGAGTGGGCAGCATGGCGCTCGCCTTTCAAAGGCCAAGTCCAAATGCTATCTATGGTGTTTTACCATTGTTCCTACAGGACCTAGTACGGTGACGTCTGCAGCGGCTCCTCGGACGATCTGGCGGCAAAGAAAGACACGACAATATACGAATAAAATAGCAGCGCATCGTTCTTTGCAAGTTTACTTGGTGACAACCTCTTCGGTCTGGCTCACGATCTCGTCGCGCGTCGTCGTCTGCACGATGAACTCGGCGTCGTCCTGCGAGTCGTAGCCGTCGGCGAGCGCAATGTACGCCGCGCGACGGGACGCCGCCGCCGCCTGGCGCGCCATAAGGCGGCTGCGGAACGTATCCACGAGCGCCTGCTTGGCGGCAATCTCGGCCGCGATGCGCTCCTTCTCGCGCTGCTTGTCGAGGTCGTTGAACTTCTTGCGGTATTTCTCCAGATTCTTGAGCACGTGCTTGTACTCCTTGTCCGAGAGGAGGCTCTTGGGGCGCGGGCGCCAGATGAACTGGTGGAACATGTCCTTGCGCTTCTCCTCGAGGAGCTTGCCCTGGAAGCTCCAGAGGTTGTAGCCGTTGTCCATCGTGTACTTGGCGTTGAAGTTGTTGATGGGCTGGCACACGGCCGTCGTGACCACACGCCCACTCGGGTCCCACTCGAGGTGCGTAAATTTGAAGTGCTCCTGGATCGACAAGCTCTGCTTCTCATCGACGTCCCAGAACTCCATGATGCCGTTCATGTCGCCGAGACCCGCGAGCACAATGTTGTTGCCGTACGGCGACCAGAAGAGCGCGTTACACGTCTTCTCGGCCAGCGTGTAGAGCAAGGTGACTTCGTTGTTCTTCTTGCCGCCGTTGCAGTCGTAGAACGACACGGAGAGGCGGGTGGCGGTCTCGCCGTGGATGACAGCGAAGCGCGAGCCCTTGGGCTCCCACGCAAACGCGCGGATCGTCTCCTTGATCTCGAGCATCTCGACCGGCACGAGCGCCTCGCCAGCGCGGAAGATCTCAAAGTTGGTGAAGAGCGTCTTCTTGGACTTGGAGTGGCGCGTGACCTTGACGCTGAGGAACTGGCCGCTCGGGTGCCACAGCAATTGGCACTCGGAGACGTTGAAGAGGTTCTTCTGGCGGATCTCACGGCGCGACGGGATCTCGACGAGCGAGACACGCGCGGGCGTGTTGCCTGCCTCCGGCGCCCAGTAGGCGAGCGAGGCGTTCCCGGCCGGGCACCAGAAGAAGTCCTCGACACCGTCGGCCTTGAGCGACTTCTTCTCGAGGAGCTTCATCGACGGCAGCTCGTAGATCGTGATCGCGTCCTTGTTGCGCCGGGCGACGTACTTGTCATCGGCCGACCACTTGAAGGGCGTGTCGAGCACGTTCGGGTTGCCGCCCATGCTAAACGCGCGAAGGAGCTTGCCGGACGCGATGTCCCAGACCATGATCGAGTTGTCGCCTTCGACGCCGTTGGCCGTGATGAGGTAGTTCTCCTGCGGCGAAAAGACCGCCGTGTTGACGTGCTTGTGCGCAAAGCGAGCGACCTTGTCCCACGAGTCGCCGCCCCAGAGCGCGATACCTTGCGGATGGAACGTGTGAGGTACGTGCCGGCAGGGCTCCACTTGACGTACTGCGAGCACCACTGCTTGCCCGAGCTCTTCTCGCGCTCGCCCGCGTACTCGAGCGTCGGCCGGCCCTGGTCGCTCCAGTGCAGCTCCGTCTCGGTACCGTAGCGCAGCACAAACATGTCGCGGCCGCTCGGGTCGGCGAGCCACGTGTTGAGGTTCTGGCGCGGCGTGAACGTCGGCTTGGTCGGCGGCGTGTACGTGTCCGGCACGTTGGCGTACTTTTGCATGTCGGCGTACAGGCAGACCTGGAGCGTGTGGCGCTTGTCGAGCGCAAAGTTGTGCAAGGTCGTGATCGCCTTCTTGGCGTCGGCCTCGGTCTCAAACTCGATAAAGAGGCAGCCAGCCGTCTCGGGGGCCGCGCCTGCCTTGGCCGGAAGGTACGGCATGTCGATCGCAACGACCGGGCCGATCTGCGCCACGAGGCGGTTGAACATGGCGAGGAGCTTGTCGTACTTGGCGGCTGTCACGACCGGCGCCTTGTCGACGACGATGCACGTGGAAAAGTCGTGCGTGAAGGCGTCTTTTTCGGCCTTGAGCGACGAGACGTCGAAGGTCTCGCCTTCGTCGTCGGACATGTACTCGCCGAGGTCCGCGGCCTCGGCGCGGAGCAGCTCGAGCTTCTTGGCGAGGGACGGAGCCATGATGGAAAATGGGCCAAACGGGCGACGACCAGTGACCATCCCATAGCACTTCGCGCAAGGCCATTGGCTGAAATTCATGCCATTTCTTGGGAGACTAGAAACACGCAATTGTTGGGATTTGATTGGCATGACAAGGGCGATCGAGGCGAGCAACGTACGTCGGGCAGACTCGCATCAACGAGGCGATAGCTAGCCCTGCGCGACAATGCTCCCTAGTTAGTGAGAGCGACGCGCTTGCAGCCTAGACCTCGATGACGATTGGTCAGAATACCGGTATACTGGCTGGGTCGATTGGACATTTAGTAAAACTAAGAACTTGGACGACGCGATGGCTTCGTACTGAGAGCATCTTGGTACTAACTTGATTGATATACTATTACATGATTCTATGGACTTTAGCGTCTGTTGGGTGCTATGGTAAGCTCGAGGCGCGACTGCAAACGCGCTTCTTGGGCTCAATGTCGAGGAACGCGCAGAGAACGCTCGTGACGTGGCGGAAGCGCGGGCACTTGACGTCGTCGGCGTGGAGCACGCGGAGAAGCGAGTCGAGGAGTTCTTGGAAATGGCGGAGAAAGATCTGGAGCGTCTCCTTTGTGTGCACGCTGCGCAGCATGTGCCACCACGCGGCGAGGCTGCCGCTCGACGCCGGTCGGTCAAAGTTGTGGTGCAGGTCTTCCCAGAGCCAGACGCAGACACCGGGGCACGCGTGGCCCGCACCGAGCGCATGCAAAAGGTCCATCTTGAGCTTGAGGAACGCGGGCCAGTCGCGCTGAATGACGTGCGCTGCGTCGTGGTGCGTGACCCGGAGCACGAACGCAACGTCTTGGTCGCGCGGACTCGCATCCTTGTGCGGTACGCTCACGACCGCGCGCTGGATGCCGACGCGCGTGTGGTTGAGCGCACTCGTCGAGACGGGCGGCAGCATGGCAGATCGAGTGAGTTGCAGAGTCCACGTCTCGACTTCTCGTTTGCATGTAGAGGACGACGCGAACGAGAGACGGGCGCGGCGGCTGTTGGCGCCCGCGACGTCGACATGGACGCACGGGTGGTGCCGAAATTTCGGCCAACAATTACTACTGACATTGCTCATGATCAACAAACATTTGATGGACTCTGGCGTCTGGAAGGTCATCCCGAAACCGAGTGAGTCTGCAACATCTGTCCGACGGTTTCTGTCTGACGAACTCAAATTGAACCTCAGGAGGCGCGTGTACCCATCGCTCGTCTTGCGTCGTCCTGAGCAACACCACTTTTGAAATGCAAAATCGATTGTAGTTACACGATGCAGTTGGTACGCAATGGCACGAGTCGCCTATCTCTTGAGGTGGCTGACGTACTTGAACGTGAGGTAAATGCACACTTGGAGGATGACCCACATGCCCGCGAGGACGAGGACATAGTACCAGCGGTCGTCCGGGTTGAACTGGAAGTTGTTCTGGACGTACTTGGCGACGGTAATATCCGTGCCGTTCATGCCGAGCACCTTGGCGCACGCGTTGCCAGTACCATCGTCGTTGCAAATGCCGAGCTGCGAGACCGCGAGCGCGCGGAGCGAGTAGCTCGACGGCACAATGTACTGGATCCAGCTGTACCAGCTCTTCATGCCCGGGTACGGGAGGAGGAAACCCGAGAAGAGGTTGAAGACGCACGAGATGGCACCGACGGCCACGTTGGCGACCTTGGTGTTGGGGCAGAGCGCGCACATCCACTGGCCCACGAACGTGCACACAGACGTGTAGAGGAAGAACGTGAGGAGGAAGAAGAAGAAGTAGCTCGAGTCCCAGCCGACCATGAAGAACTCGAGGACGACGAATGTCGTGACGGCGACGATGAGGTACGGGATCTCCGAGAAGAAGAGCGAGAGCGAGTACGGGAGCGGGCCGTAGTAGTTGGACATGCGTTCACGGTAGAAGACGGCGCGCTCGAGGCACGTAATGTCGAGCACCGTCATCAAGTGGATGATACCGATGAAATCCATACTGTTGTAGATGAGGCCGACGTGCGACTTGATCTGCGCTTCCGTGATGCGATCGAGCTGCCAGAAGGTCGTGCCAAACACGATCGCAAACCACGGGAACGACGCGAGGCGCACAAAGTTGTACGACGGCGACCGCCAGTACGTCTGCATTGCCTTCCAGATGCACTCCTTGAGCTGGTTCTTGAGGCCGGTGGCCATCGGCGTGTAGTTGACGGTCGAAAAGGCCACAAAGTCGGGCGACGGCTGGCAGAGGTGCTGCGTCTTGGCAAAGTTGCGCGCGCCGAGCTCGCTCTTGGCGTACTCGACCGAGTAGTCCTTGGTGTCGCGGCCGATACCGGCACCAGTGACTTCAAGCATGTACGTCGCCGGGTTGTACTGCGGGCGGATCTCCTCCGTGCCGGGGATCGACACAAAGTACTCGAGCAGCTTCTGCGAATCGCGGCCAAGCTCACCGAAGTAGGCAGTGAAGCCACCGCGCTGGAGCAAGAGGAGCGAGTCGAAGAGCTCAAAGATCGTGATCGAGGGCTGGTGGATCGTGCAGAGGACCGTGCGGCCCGTGCGCGCAATCGACTGCACACCCTTCATGACAATCGTGGCCGAGCGTGCGTCGAGACCCGACGTGGGTTCGTCCAAGAAGAGGATACTGGGGTTGGCCACGACTTCGACACCGATCGTGACACGCTTCTTCTGCTCGACCGAGAGGTGGCCGACCTGCTCGTTGATGATACCGTTGAGTTCGAGCAAGTCGAGCGTCTCCGTCACGAGCTTGCGCTTCTCCTCGTACGTAATGTCTTCCGGAAGGCGGAGGTTGGCCGAGAACCAAAGCGCCTCGCCGATCGTGGCCATCTCCGAGTGGATGTCCATCTGCTCGCAGTACGCCGTGATGCGCGAAAAGTTGGCCGGGTTCTTGGGCTCGCCGTTGATGATGATGTCTCCGACAATGCGGCCGCCCGTCTTGCGGCCGGCAATGACGTCCATGAGCGTCGTCTTGCCGGCACCCGTGGCGCCCATGAGCGCCGTCATCTTGCCGGGCTGGAAGTACGCCGAGATGTTGTTCAAGAGCTGGCGCTCGACCTTGGTCGGGAGCGTGACGTAGTAGTCGAGGTTGCGGATGCACAAGTTGGCCGGGATGAACGAGAGACCGTCGTTCTTGGGCGCCATGTCCTGCTTGACCATGGTACCACCCGGCGTCTGCACTTCAACGTACACCGAGTCGTCGTCGTCCTCGCCGACCTTCGAGCCGCCCGAGACACCAAAGCGACGTTCGTAGCGGATGAAGTGGAGCACGAGCGTGTTGAGACCCGTGAAGAGGAAGTAGTACGCAAGGAGCACAATGATGCCGTACACAACGTACTCGGTGCCAAACTGGGTCATCTGGACGCTCTTGAGGTTCGCAGCGCGGGCTTCCGGCGTGTAGTCGCCGTTGCGGAACTCGTTGACGACAACAGCGCGGAGACCCCATGCGAGCGGGTTGAACCAGAACATCCAGCGCCAGTACGACGGGATCAAGTCGGTCAAGATGATGTTGCCCGAGAAGAGGAGGAAGAAGCACACCGAGAACGCCGCCAGCGTCTGGCCAATCGTGATCGACGGCGAGATGGAGCTGAGCATCGTCATGTACGCGCAAATCGCGTGCTGGAAGCAGACGCAAATGACGACAAACGTCACAAACGTGCCCGCGTTCGGCGAGAGACCCGACATGAAGTAGAAGAACGTCGTCATGAGCAGCGAGACGGCCAAGTTGACGGGCATCTGCACCACCGACTCGGCGATCGTGTACGAGAGCGTGCGGTAAAAGTTGCGCGCGCGCTGCTTGTAGAAGATCTCACGGAGCGCGTACGCAATCGTGATCTGCTGCCACGCCTGGCGCTGGAAGACCGCGCACGAGAAGAAGAGCATGCGCAAAAAGTACTTGGTGTCGGCCTGGTAGTAGATGGCACCCATGCAGAGACCGACGATGATGGCTTCGGCGAGCTTGCCCCAAAGGAGCGGCTTGTCACGGATCCAAAGCGTCTTCTGACGGCCGAGGAGGAGGAGAGTCGACGCGAGGAATGGGAGCGCAAACGGCGACGTCTCCTTCGTGCGGGCAATCGCTGTCACCGACTTCATCTTCTCGAAATCGGCCTGGTCCTGCATGGCCGCGACGTTGAAGCCGTCGTTGATGGCCTTGAGCGACGTCTGGTACATCTCCGACTCGAAGAAGACCTTGCTGTACTCATGCGCGTGGATCGGGATCGCGCGGTTGCGGTCTTCCGGGAGGAGGTACTTCTTGCCGCGGCCCGACGTGACATCGATGAGGAAGTCCGCCGGATCGGTACGGAGCGGGCAGTAGAAGCCGAGGTTCTCAAAGTACGGCAAGATCGAGGTACGCGGGCCGTGGTACACCAAGTGGCCTTCGTTCATCATGATGATGTCGTCAAAGAGCTCGACGACTTCGGGCGTCGGCTGGAGGAGCGCAATGACGACCGAGCCGCCAAGCGTCTTGGACCACGTGCGGAGCGACTGCACGATATCGTACGTGGCGGCCGAGTCAAGACCGGTCGAGATTTCATCGCAGAGGAAGACCGACTGGCCACCGACAAGCATCTCGCCGACCGTAACACGCTTGCGCTCACCACCCGAGCAACCACGGAGAAGCGCATCACCGACGACCGTGTCGGCGCAGTTGCCGAGACCGAGGAGGTGCAAAATCATTTCCGTGCGAAGCTTGGCGACCTCACGCACTTCTTCCGGCTGCGACTCGGGCGACCCGTTCAAGCACATATCGGCAAACTTGAAGGTTTCGCGGACCGTGAGAGTCGGGCAATGGTTGTCGCGCTGGTCGACAAGGCCGACAATCTTCATCGGGTCGACTTCCGTGCTCTTGAGGCCCGAGAACGTAATCTCACCGCCAACTTCGCACGCCTTGTTGTTTTGGAGCTTGCCCGCGAGCGCCTTCAGGAACGTCGACTTGCCCGAGCCCGGGTTGGCAAGAATAAGCGTCATGGTGCCCGGCTTGATGATACCGCTCATCGGGTGCAAC